ATTATTTCACACCTATATTATTAGCCTTGTCTCCCTAATCATGCAGGACACTTCTGGAAGGCTCAGTCCATTCTGTATATTTTTGTTCCCATGGGGTCATATGCATGCTACTAAATTTTGCTTATTATCATGGTTTTCAGGGATGGTCTGTACAATGTACTGCTTACTTCAGTGTTTGTGAGCAGGGAGTTCTCACCATCAAATTGCAGAAATATGCCCCCTATCTCCTAATAGGTGGGTATTTCTCAGAGTGTCGATGTGAAAACATACATCAGAAACACCTGGAATGTTTCTTAAATGCAGATCCCTGGGCCTTCCCCCTCTCCCCCGACTCTGCCCAGTCCCACCTGAATTAGAACCTCTGGGGTTAGAGGCCAAGAATGCACATTTTTAATAAGCTCCCTTGGGTGGTTTTGATATACAAAATGTGACAGTTTGGGGCATAAAGAACCTCGGTCCAATGCCTAGGCAAGGTTCAGCAGGACTTGGCTGCACCTGGAGTTACCAGCCCTTCCTCAGTGGCCTACCCTCACCCCAGGGCCCCGAGAAGCATAGACTGGCATGACTGCTGGAGATCCTTCCCTGCACAATATGGGTAAAGTGATTGTTGGGCATGCTCTGTGGCATCCTGGGACCAGGAAACTAACCACCAGATGCACTCTGAGTAACTGCAACCTCTTGCAACTCCATCCCCCGGTTTTCAAAGAAAATCACTGGGCAGGAAAGAAGCCACGAAGTCCAGGGTCCACTGTGACCATTGCCATCATCCAAGGAGCTATCAGAGGATGGACCAAGTTGAAAAGAGTTGAAAAGAAAACCAGAGGGACTTACACAGGAATACACGAACATGCACTTGGGACTCCTGACTCAAAGGACCAGAAGAGGATCCAGGTAGCCCTTTTGGGTTACTTATTTATTCACTGCCTGCAGTTCTGAACAGAATCTTACTTTGGGCCCTGCTCATGCAGAGACAGAAGGCTGGGCCAGGGCATCCCACACTTTCTCTTCCAGCAACAAATCCTAGCCTAGACTATTCCCCTAAAGCTGAGAAAGAAAATACTTGACCTCCCAAAAGAGTTCCCATTCCTCTGATACCTCTTGACACTTATTTTATTTCATTTCTGAGGATCATTTTCCCACGACAGGTGCGCAAACAGGGTAGCAAACAGCATATTACACGCACACACACACACACACAAACACACTCCACTTTCAAACTGATGACCTTCTTGTGTGCTGACAAGCAGCCAAAGTTAAAATCATGGAGGAAAAAAAAAAGACTTTAAAGTGAATCAGAGAGTGGTGCTTATCCAGGCTGGAACGGGGGCACAGGGCTCAAAGATTCAGCAGGGACCAAAGAGTTCAGGCCTTGGAAACTCCTGAGCTAGAAACAGAGGGAACCTCCCAGCACCGCACATGCCCACTTCACCAGAGGGAGAACCCCTTTCCTTTGCTCCCAGTCCCACAGCCACCACCCTCAGCAAATGCCAGCTAATGGGAGTTCCCAAATTTAATCAAGCCATGTGTACAGCTGCTTTGAGGGAGAAGTGAGTGGAACCCTTCAGATGTTTCCAACAACGTGGATGCCCAATGATTACGTGCACACCAGACATTTTCTAAGGCTCCTGAAACCTTCCTCCTTTGACCAAATGGCCTTCGGAAGAAGTAATTTCTGCCATCTTCTTTCTGAGAAACTTTGCATCCAACCCACCCTCCAAAACTGCTTCAAACTCCCCCTCAAGTTCTGTTGGAGACAATGTTACAACTCGCCAGAGATGACTCCTCCCCCGACCCCTCTCCTCACCTTCCCACCAAGATTCAAGAGTATTTTCCCACACCACTTGTGTGTGCTCATCCAGGCATATTTTCTGTTATCTTTTTACACGTTTCAGGCCTGCAACAGCTCCCTGCATCAAATGATTTGATTGGAAACGGGGAGCTCAATGGGGATTTTTTTTTTTTTTTTTTTTTGCCTCTTGCCTCCTGACGTGTATACCACTGAACTAAAACAAAAACAAAAACAAAATCCAAGGGGCAAAAGCGGGGCTGGAAAGGAGGCCGAGGGCAGAAAAGGTCTATATTTATAGGCAGCCCCATTCTGCGAGCAAAAACCACCTTTGACCACCTGCAGAATGCGCAAGGTCACGTGGGTTCTCTGCAGCGCCTTAATGCCTTACCCAGCACACAAGCCCCCGTGGCATATAAACAAATCCACAAGCGGAAAAAAGAGAGAACTCACTCCTCAGAGAGGAAGCGAATGATAATAACAGCCGCAAGAATAATAATACATAAGGAATCACAATTACTACTACTACTACCACCACCCAGCCAAGCGTAGACGACAGCGGTACAGTAAAGGGACAACCAGAGCAGGCTTTGCAAAGAAGATAAATCACAGAAAACCAAATCGTGTCCACCTTGCTACCCTCCCACACCCTCCCGCCCCGCAACAAACAGAATCAAAGGAAAGGGGGTGGTGGGGAACAAGGAGAGGGAAGGAAAGATTGCTCCCCCCCCCCCAGGCAACACCTACCTCCAGGGTCCGGATCTCTTTTTGTGTGAGGTCGTTGGAGGTGGCACATTTGGTCCTAAGCCCTTCCAGGTTGGAGATGCTCAGGTCTATCATGTTTTGGACCAACTCGCACTGCTGCAAGGCTTTTTGCAAACTCAGAGGTTGCTGCTCCTCGCTTTTCGTCATGTTTTCCTCATCCATCGCTTGCTCGGCAAGCCCCCTTCCCCTCCTCCTCCTCCTCCCAGAGAGAAAAAAGGGGGGGGGAGTAGAGGTAGTCTACCCCCTACGCTCTCCAGCCACTGCGACTTCTCAACAATGTCTCATGAAGAAGAAACCCAACATCTCACACAGGGTTGAGGGGGTGGGGTGGGAGGAGGCGACAAGAGCCAAAATTTATTATTTTATTTCGGGGTATCAAGCAGACTCCATTAGAATGTCTCCTCTCTCTGAGTCTCTGGTCCCTGAAAAGGAGGGATGCTGTTTCTCAGAAGCAAACCAGGTGATGTGATGCTGTCTGTACACTTAGGGAGGAGGGGGGGAGGAGGAGGAGGAGGAGGAAAAAGAGGAGGAGGAGGAGGAGGGGGAGGAGGGGGAGGAGGAGGAGAGGAGAGGAGGAGGCGAGGGCAAACAACGCTCACTCTTTACACACCGGCTCCGTGAAGGACAAATATATATTTTTGGCTGGCTGGCTTTTATGTCAAAAAAATTCTGCTTTGCCCCCCTCCCAGTTGCAGTGACACGGCATCGTCCACCGTTTGGGGTGCTTTAGCGCGTCCTCAAGATGCTGTCCGCATTGCTCTCGCGGCTGCGGCGGCGACTGCGGCTGGCTGCTGTCTCCTCCTCGCGCTGCTGCTGCCGCCGCCGGGCTCCGGGGCTGACGGCTGCTGCATTCGCTCCTGCCTCGCTCCGCACCGACATCTTGCCTGTCAATCAAAGGGCGGGGGGGAGCGAGCGAGCGCCGGCGAGGGATGGAGAGCGAGCGAGGGACCTGCGGGGAGCGGGTTGGTGGAGCGGCGCCGTGCGCGCAGCCGCCCCGGCCCGGCGCGCCAGGGACCCGCCGGAGGAGGCGGCCGCGGCGCGCGCAGGCTCGCGCACCTGCCCGCGGAAGGGCCGGCTGCCGGCGCGGCCCGGGGCGCGGGATTCGCGGGGGTGCGGAGCTCGCGTGGCGGAGTGCAGTTACTACCGGGCGTGCGTGCGTGCGAGCCGGCGGGCGGGGGCGCGGGGGAGGCGCGCGCGGCGGGGGAGCCGGCGGGGTGTGCGCCGGGACGCGGGGGCTGGGCGCGGGGGCGGGAGGGGGGTGGGGGTGGGGGCCACTACTAACTACGGCACGCTCTCGCGAGACGAGGCCGGAGCACTGCTCAGCAGGTGCGCTCGGGCTGGGAGCAGGTGTGCACCCAACTTTCAAACCCTTGGTGCGTGCTGGAGAAACGTCAGCGTGAACCTGGGCACGTCCTCTCTGGCTTTCTGGCTCGTGGGGTGTGTGTGTAAAACGAAACAAACCTGATCATCTTCCTTGAGCCCTGTGTGTGTGCGTCTGTCTGCCTGTCTTTTCGTTCGTTCGTTCTTTCTTGTTACTGGGGAAAAATAAAACCTGATCATCTTCCATGAGCCGTAGGAAGCTGCCTCCCAGAGTGCGTGCGTGTGCGTGTGTTCATTTGTCCTTTCTTGTTACTGGCACAAAGTAAAACAAAACTGGTCATCTTCCATGAACTGTAGAACACTGCCCACTCCCCGAATTGGCCCTGGACTTCAGTTACCCTGAGGGGTGGCTTTTCCTTTTGGAGGGGGAAAGGGGCTTTGCCTTAATCTGATTGTTACCATGCCCTACGTGTGCTGCACGATCTGATCCCAGCCTACCTAAACGATCTTATCCCAGCAAACTATGGCCCCAGAGCTAAGAATGGTTTTTATATTTTCAAAAGGTCGGAAAAAAATCAAAAGATTTTGTGACGTGTGAAAATTATAAGAAATTCGAATTTCAGTGTCCATAAACAAAGTTTTATTGGACCACTGCCACCCATTTGTTCTATGTCCGCGTTTACTGCTGTGTTGTAACAGCAGAAGTGAGTAGTTGCAACAGGCACGGTGTGACTTGTAAAGCCTAAAATATGTGCTCTCTGGCCCTTTCCAGAAAAGTCTGCCCACCGCTGACCAAATCACCAAACATGTTCTTGCCTCAGAGTTCTCTGCTCTCTATATCCCCTCTGCCCAGACCACATCTCCCTCGAATTCTCTCCTGGTTGGTTCCTTGTCAGTTGGTGTCGACTCAAATGTCATCCCAGAGAGGCTCTGTCTTCCTGATACTGGTACTCCCAACACACATTGCTCAAAGGATGTATTTAGGATAATCAGCAAAAGGCTCCTCTTTCTCCAGGTAAACAGAGCTCCATGCCAGGCAACTGGTTTATGGAGCAGAGTGACTCAGAACACATGATACAATGTGTCCCTTAAAGGAAGCCACTTGAGAAGTAAAGAGAATGACAGGCAATGATGACAAATTTTTTTTTTTTAGATATTGGGCCATGAGGTTTTACAGTTCATACAGAGCTGAATTAGCATTTTCAAAATCCCTCTGTCGATGAGGAGCTCAAGTGAGTTCTCTATGTCTTCAGTCTTTTGGACTATGAAGCTCTTCTTGGTTTGTGCTCTCTCGCTCTCTCTGTCAAATAAATAAATAAAATCTTTTTTTAAAAATTCGCTTTTCATCTCTTTTCTCCTTCTTTTGTTTTGTGCCTCTTGAACAAATATTAATCATGATTATTTTAAAGCCCTGGTTTTAGTCCAGTACTGTGGTCACCTGAACAGTCTGTTTCTATTGCCTGTTTTTCGATTTGTTTTCAGGGATTTGGTCCTGTCTCTTGGCAGGCCTTGTAATTTTTGTTGAGTGCCATACCACATCTGTGTATGAAAAAATATATATATAAAGTCTCCAGGTGATCTCTAACTCTGGAGAGGGCTCACCCTTTCTCTGCAAGCAGATGGCATGGGGGCTGAGTATCTTAATCCAGTCAGGGGCTGAGCTGGGTGGAGGCTGGGTTGCAGTTTTGATGAGAGACCGATCTAACTCTGGCTCCCACCTCTAAGGCTTTGCCTTTCAGAGATTCCAGCTGAGAACTTTAGGTGTTCACTGAGGCCCCTTCCCCTGGTCCTGTGCTCTAATCCTTTTAGCCATAACATGGGAAGAATGCTGGACACTCTTCTCTTTTTCAGGGGCTTTCTGTTTGGCTTCTAGCCTCTTGGCCTGCACTGTTTCAGAATCTGCCAAATATCTTAAGGGGAAAACCGCTTTTCTACCCCTCCCTTCTCTCTAGGATAGTCCCTAATTTTGTCTCTCCAGCCCTAAGACACTGCCAAAATTCTGCTGGTTTCTCTGTGCCCCCAGCAGGGGCATCCTTGCCTGGGAAAAGTCTAGATTCCAAGTGCCCAAATTTGCAAATGCCCCAGGGAAAAAGTGGCTGCAGTTTGTCAGCTCACCTCAACATCGTTCCAGAATCTTGGTCCCTCTAAGTCTGGTTGCTTCAGCAGCTCTCTGAATGCCTTTAAGTGGGTGATGATGATGATGATAATTTGATTTGGCTTTTCTGGTTGTTCTCAGATGAAGTAGAAGTCTAAAAAATGAAAGTATCCCATAGTTCAGAAGTCATCAGCTGGCAGGGCTATAAGCAGCCCACAAAGGCATTCTTTTTGCCCCCCTCCCAACCACCATGCCTTTTCAATTAATTGCTATAGTGGACATTTGTTATACTTTGCATCTGTACAGCCCCTTTTGAATATCTTTCCTATGTTTGGAAAATGCCCACCTTATGAGTCCCACGTCTCCATAAGAGAAACCAAAGCACTCTTCCAGAACCTTCCTTGCAACCAAGTTTCATGTGATCTGGGCTCGACCATTACACACATCACATGAGATTTACACTTGGAAGTGAGCCAGGTGTCCTGCCCCTGTGTAAGCGTGGGGTCTGTGCTGAGAGGCATGGCAGGGCATTCACAGGGGCAGTCCGACGGTGTGGCTTGGGCATCATTCCCAGCTGGACAGTCCAAGCCTAGCACTCTTGTCCCCCTGGAGATTCTATAGGCTTTCTAACCACCTGTCTTAGTCTGCCTTGGCTGACATAACAAAACACCACTGATGGGTGGCTTCAACACAAATTTATTTTTCTCACAGTTCTGGAGGCTGGAGATCCATGGTGCCAGCATGTTCGGGTTCCAGTGAAAGCCTCTTCCTGGATGTCAGAGCACGTCTTCTTGCTGTGTCCACACAGAGCAGGCATGGCTCACATGGCTTCCTCTTCTTAAAAGGCCATCGCCCTTTTGAATTAGGGCCTCACCCTTTGGCTTCACCCAACCCTATGTAAAGGTCCAATGGGGGTTAAGGCTCGAACGCGTGAATTTGGAGGGGACCCAATTCAGTCCATAGTACCCCCCGTTAAAGCACTAGTACTTGAACTACCTGGAGTACATTGTGTCATTTGCAACAAAGAACCCTGACTAATATTCTTACCAATAATGCCAAAATCAGGAGACACTACCAAAAATGGAGATTTCTGGCATTTCTGGGAAAATCGGAAGACTTGGCCTCATTGGGCAATAGTTGGTTAGATTTGAGAGACAGTTGTCCCTTTCGGATGGGACGCAGGCTCTCCAGTTCACCATGGGCCCCACCTAAACCCCTTCATTCATTATATTTCCTGCCTGGCCCCTGTTGGCATTTGCATTGGTTGCCCCTAGTATAGCTTAAGGTGGTTTGCACCACAGATCAATAGAAATCTCACCAATTTCAAGCTTGGAGAACTGGAGCTGACTGCTGTGCGTTGCGCTGTGGTTGCTAGGTCTTCATTCTGGAAACTGCACGGCACTTTGGATGCTGCATGTCTCGCAGCGCCTTTATCAATAGTGGGAATAAATTATTCTTACTGGGCTATGAAATTAGCTGAGCTTGGAAATCTCACATCAGACCCCATAGCTCTGAGTTTCAACTATGAGAAGAGTCTCATATTAGAAGTCCAGTCCAGTCCAATCAAAACTCTATTCTCATATGCGGTTTAATACCTCTTCCCCAAGCCCCTCCAGTCTGACCCACAAGTGACTGGGGAATCTGCAGTGGAGATGAGGCAGGTGTGTCCTCTCCTGCCCCTTCCCAGCTCACCTTGCCGGAGTATAGGAGCAGGGCAGCTGCTGAGAACAGGTGTAGTTCTCTCAGGTGTCAGATGCCGCCCACCCCCTGCCATGGCCCGGCAAGAACTCACATGCTGGTTCATGTGTACTGGGGGATCTTTGGAGAACCCTGTGGGGGCCTTGTGGGGACTCAGTGCATGTGCTGGGTGACTTCGTGCACACCTCATTCCCATTCATACCCTGGGAAGTACCCCACATTCTTTTTCTGAGGTCCTGGGTGAGTCCTCTTGGGTGAGTCTTTTCAGGATGACTCAGACCCACATACATATTCTGGCCCCTGGGAAATAGGATGCACCTTTGCCCTCTGCCCTCGCTTCTTGCCCTGCTGTCATGGGCAGCCCCAGGCAACCTTCAGCTGGCAGTGAGGTACCAGCCACCCCCACCTTGGTGCCCCCCAGTCTCATGAGTGATTCTGCTTTGAGCTCTCCTCTCTTGGCTTGGAGGTCAGAGGGGAAAAGAAAACCCCCTACAAAGACCTGTCAGAGAAATGTCCTCTGGATAAAATCTGCCCTTGTTTTATATAGGCTGGAGGCTGATGGTTATTGATGGTCAAGGGACCAGTCTGGCCACCTCTTGACAGGAGGAAGTATTGTTACCCATTGCCCTCAGCTTTGAAGCTTTAGCTGAAGTTCTGGGTCAACAGGAAAAGTCTCATTCCACATCTCGTTATATTAGCGATAAGCTGTCCCCAATATTTTCTAAGTTGCATTGTGAATAGGGACCCAAATTGGAAAGTGGCACATTAGGAAGTAGCAAGGTGGCCAATGCCCCTGGAACTGAACAAAAGTAACACCGACTTTTCCTTGAAGGGCTCAACATACTGCTTTCCCAGGGCATTTCTTTTCTTTTTTTTTTTTTCCTTTTTCCTCCTGATTCTTTGCGGGGATAACAATCTCAGAATGCCAGTCCCCAGGATAAAACCAAATCTTCCATAGCTTCGAGAGGACTATTATTGTTCTGTTCTAACTCGTTGATCCCCAAAACATAAATGGCTTTTTAAAAAAATACCTTTGATGAGTGCAGGCAGAATGCTCCTATCTTTAACCTTGTGAAGTCTTTCCAACATCAGAAAATGGACTTTTTCTAGTGTTCTCCTTTTGGCCTTTTGCCTCTTTGTCTCTTAATTTTCCAGTGCAACCAAAGCAACCAGATCACTCTCTTGATGGCAAGATAACTTGAGCTCGCGATAATGGACAATTTAGTCCAGTGATTTATGCTAGCTTTACAAATTAAGCACTCAACAATGCACTGTGAATTTTTCAGAGATAGCACCCTCAGGATGGGAGAGGATGTGTACTGTGGCACTGGCCAACTACTTAGAGCACGGTGAAGGAGTATCGTTGAAAATTGCAGTAAAGTGAGGTCATCGACCAAACTTGCTTACATCTTACGCCATCTTGTCTGTGAAGCTCTGCATTAACCTAAATGGTGAATCAGAAGAAAGCATCTGCTCTGCTCAGGTACCAGGGGTCAAGGCTCGTGGGGCAAATTGAGGCCATGCCCCCCTCCCCAGCCTGGGCACCTGATGAAGGAAACAACCCGCATGGCATCCATCTGCAGCAGCCCCAATGAAGTTCCAGATTCTTTTGGTTTGTTTTTATTGCAGCCAAATATACATAACATAAAATTTACCACTGGTGACATTTATTACACTCAGCGTTGTGCAACCATCAGCACTCTATAATTCCAGAATGTTTCTGTCACCCAGAGGAAAGTCCCATACACATTTAGCAGTCATTCCACATTCCCACCTTCTGTCGGCCTCTTGCGACCACTAATCGACTTTTTGTCTCTATGGACTTACCTTTTCTGGATATTCCATATAAGTGGAATCTTATAATATCAGCCCTTCTGTGTCTGGCTTGTTTCACTTAGTGTAATGTGTTTGAGGTTCATCCATGTTGTAGCATGGATCAGTGCTTCATTCCTTTTCGTGGCTGAGTAATATTCCATTGTATGGATAGACTGCATTGATTACCTGTTCATCTGCTGGTGCATATTTGCGTTCTTCCACCTTCTGGTTATTGTGAATAGTGCTGCTATGAACATTTGTGTACAAGTTGTTTCAACACCTGTCATGCATTCTTTTGGGCAGACAAACATCTCTTAGAGATGGATTTGGTTCCAGACCACTACAATAAATATTACAAATATTGCAATAAAGCAGGTCAAGTGAATTTTTTGGTTTCCCAGTGCATATAAAAGTTACATTTACAGCTTCCACAAGAGGCCTACACGCTGCCGCTGGGGCCGCCGCCACGTCTCTAGTGATCCCTGAGAAGTTCCAGCACATTTTGCGAGTACTCAACACCAATATCGATGGGCGGCGGAAAATAGCTTTTGCCATCACTGCAATTAAGGGTGTGGGGAGAAGATATGCTCATGTAGTGTTGAGGAAAGCAGACATTGATCTCACCAAAAGGGCCGGAGAGCTCACTAAGGATGAGGTGGAACGTGTGATCACCATTATGCAGAATCCTCGCCAGTATAAGATCCCAGACTGGTTTTTGAACAGACAAAAGGACTTGAAGGATGGAAAGTACAGCCAGGTCCTGGCCAATGGTCTGGACAACAAACTTCGTGAAGACCTGGAGAGACTGAAGAAAATTAGGGCCCACAGAGGGCTGCGCCACTTCTGGGGACTTTGTGTCCGAGGCCAGCACACCAAGACCACAGGGTGCCGTGGCCGCACCGTGGGTGTGTCCAAGAAGAAATAAATTTGTAGGCCTTGTCTATTAATAAAATAGTTTATACACCTAAAAAAAAAAAGTTACATTTACATGGGACTTCAGTGTATTAAGTGTGTGATAGCATTACGTCTAAAAAAAGTAATGTACATATCTTCATTAAAAAATACTTTATTCCTGGGATGCCTGAGTGGCAAGTCGGTCAAGTGTCTGACTTGGTTTCAGCTCAGGTCATGATTTCCTGGGTCATGTGATTGAGCCCCACATCGGGATCTGTGCTCAGTAGAGTGTCTACTTAAAGATTCTCTCCCTCTGTCCCTCCCCTGACTTGTGCACACACACACGTGCTCTCTCTTTCTCTCAAACAAATAAATCTTTTAAAAAATACGTTTATTACTAAAAAATGCTAGCCGCATCTGAGTTTTCAGCAGGTGTAATCACTGATCACAGATCACCATAACAAATACAATAATAATGAAAAAGTTTGAAATATTGCAAGAATTACCCAAATGTGACACAGAAACACAAAGTGAGCAAATGTTGTCGGAAAAATGGTGCCCATAGACTTGCTTGATGCAGGGTTGCCACAAACCTTCAATTTAGAAAAAACACAGTATTGGGCACCTGGGTGGCTCAGTTGTTGGGCGACTGCCTTTGGCTCGGGTCATGGTCCCAGAGTCCCGGGATCGGG